CCTATGTATGTGTTACATCTGTAGCCAACACTTTGTCATTTTGTTTTATAACAATTCCACATAACTCCGATTTTTAAATATTTGGAATACTGAAGAGTTATTTCATGTGAAAATAAAGCCTTCGTGATGTACGGCCAATGTTTTCAGCAACGGCCGTGTGACACAGAGGTGGCGGCATCTTCGGAGGTGCCGTGCCCCCTCCTTCTAGGTGCGGAGGCGTCTGGTTCCGCCTGTTTGTGCCGCGTCTCGTTAGTGCGCCGAGGCCACGTGGGGCAGGGCTCCGCGCCTTGTATTTTCTTTAATCTTCAAGGAGCGAGGATATTTTTTCCCATTGACTTTTTTTTTTAGAGACGACTTATTTCATAACCAGTTCTCTGGCCCCGGTGAGGTCAGCCCTCGGGCTTCCCGGTGTGCACTGAATTCGCGCTTTGCCTGAATCCCGCCTCAGCCTCAGTCGTGCTTTGCAGGGGCCCCCGCCCGGTCGGTTGGCTGTCCCGGCGACTGCGCGGCGGCCGGCCCACGTACACCTCAGCGTGTTTATGTGGGCGCCGTACCCGGCCCTGCACTGAGTCAGGGCGACTGGGCCGACTTGTGTTCCCTTAGTGTTTTTTATCAGTCGCAGAACTTGCCAACGCTTTCTCCTTTCCGGCTTCTGAGCCCTCGCCGCCCCTTGTCTGTGTTGCTTTTGGCATTTCTGATCCTCCGTTGCATCTGAAATAAGCTGCTCACATACTGTCCGTGGCGTAGCTCGCATCCCCCCTTCCGGGCAGCTCTGTCTCAGAGGACATCGCCAGGTCAGGGAGATAACCTCGGGCCTCGTGTGTGTGCGGGACTGGAGGACGCCACGTACTGAAGGAGAAGTCGCCCTGGTTTTTGTCTTGTTTGTTTGTTTTTTATCGTCACCCAAGGACATTTTTTCCATTGCTTTTCAGAGAGCATGGAAGGTGGGGGAGAGAGAGAGAAACATCGATAGGAGTCTGCAGGCCGACGCTCTAGCCACTGAGCAAAACCGGCCAGGGCAGAGGTCGCCCTGTTTTTTTCCAGGATGGCTCCATATTTGTCTTCGGAGATGAAATAAGGAATCGTTCCTTTTTTGTGGGAAACTTAAATACACACATTGGTATCTTTGCATTCATCAGGACAAAACTCCCTAGTGACTGTAACAAACAACCCCTGAATCTCAGCAGCTTTTATTTTTCCACTCACACAGACGCCTGTTTGGGCCTCATGACTGTCCTGAGCGTGGGAGTCATTCCCTCACGTGGCTTTACACTGTCAGGGTCTTGTGCTTCTAGCTGTGTACGCCGACTGTATTGTGCGTTCACCACCCCGTCAGGTCTCCTTCCGTCATCATTTATCCCCCATTACCCTCCTCCAACTCCCTCCCCTTCCCCCCAAACAAATGAGTTTTAAATCATCCATATGATCAGTTGCCCAGCTTTAGTGTAATAACAGAACCCAGCCCCTGAACAAGAACCTCAGCTCCAGCGTTGGATCAGATTCCTTTAAACGGCAGATGTCCCCAGAGCTAGTCGCATTTCTTGTAAAACAGCCACACGGTAACAAACAGTGCCGATGAAAAGAAACGATCTCTTCATGTATTATCGTGGAACATCTTGGATCTGTTCGCCTATGATAATATTTTCCTTTCTGAAAATGAAGAGGTGTCTTAAATGTTTGCTTTGACCATCTGTCCAAAAGTTGTATGGCTCTCGAACATGGCATCTTATCAAGACAAAGACCAGAACGTTCATTTTATGACCAGTGTGTGTGCTGGACTCCTCACGCCGCACAGTCCGAAGGGCCTGGATTATTTAACGTGACAGTAGGACTAGAAATAGGACCAGAGTATCTCGTGTTTATATGGACTCAGCTCGCCTCCAGTAGACATGGAAAATAGTGGCATAAGGTGTGAGAAAGCTTTTATGGAAGAGTTATTCTTCCTGGGCCTTGAATTATTGGACTTTGGAACCTGGAAGGAGGCAGGAAAATGAATTTTAGGTAGAGATTAACTGAAGTCCTGGAGAGAGTGATGACCAGGTCTTGTTCAAGAAAAGGTAATGAGCCCGGCTCGTGAGGCTCAGTGGTTGAGCATCGACCCAGGCACCAAGAGGTCGCTGGCTGAGTCCCAGTCAGGGCACATGCTGGGGTCACAGGCTGGATCCCCGGTAGGGGGCGCGCAGGAGGCAGCTGATCAGTGTTGACGTTTCCCTCTCATCGAAGTTTCTCTCTCTCTCCCCCTTCCTCTCTCTCTAAAATCAACAAAAACATATTTTTTTAAAAAAGAAAAGAAACAGTAATTAATCCAGTGTGACCTCAAGGTAGGAAAGATACCCAGAAGGGAGTAATGGGAGTGTTTTGAGTTCCAGAAGGAGGAATTTGTATGTCATGGAAAATGACACGTCCAGATCTGTGTTTGAGAAGGTGGTGCCTGTGGCCGCTCAGAGGACGGACTGAGAGACGAGGCCGAAGAGGGGGGGAAGCAAGGAACGCGAGTTACCAGGAGTGACCACCTCTGTTAGGGCCGGAGAAATAGAAACACCCACACCCACACCCAGGTGGTACATTGGTGATGGAATGAACGGGGGAGGAAATGCCTGATGATGATGATGGTGACGGCGAAGAGACAGGCCTCCCTTCCCAAGCCTCTGTTGTAACATGACCTGCTCAGCCACAGAATAAAGCTTACGTCCCATGGACACTCAAGAGCAACGCTTTTTAAATCTGACCTACACATTGCCCGTGTCCTCCTGTGTGCCAGGTGACGGGACAAGCCTGTACGGAGGACATCCGCGGTATTTCAGCATGACGTGCAGGTGGCTGATTATTTAATTGTAGCTCTACAGGCTGAGCTGGACTCTGCATCGTCTGGATTGTTTTCCTGCTCTCTGTAGGTGACCCCCGCAGAGTGGTCTTATTCTGCTGGACGTAGGTGACAGGACTGCTGCAGACCTGAGTGACTTAGGAAAGGCCTCCGGGCAGTAGGGGGCAGTGTCCCATCGTAGAAGGAGCCCAGATTGTGAAGTCGGAGATTTGTGCCATGTCATCCTCAGACTCACCTGGGGTGTTCTTTTAAAATACAGGATGTCCCAAAAAGTGGGCACACACTTTAACAGCTGACAGCTCAGTTTTGAGAGTGAAATATGTTTTAATAACATTGCCTTTATAATTATTCAAAGTGTGTGTGTACATTTTTTTGGGACACCCTATATAGATCCTTATATATGAGCCCTCTGGGAGAAGGCCCTGAAAAAGGGTGTTTGTTTGTTTTTTGTTCACATTCTAGGTAATTTTGAAGGTTAGCTAAATTTGGAAAGTAGTGATTTAATCTTCCTGCGTCTCAGCTTTCACAGGATTGCTATGAGCATTAAATGAGAAAATACATCTGGGTTTTATAAACTTTCAACCACCATAAAAAGTCAGTCGTGAATTAGGTTACTTCTTGAAATAACTTTTTTTGTTCCTTTTTAAAAGAGTTCTTAAATTTGTCATCAGTTTGAAGCTTGCTATCTGAGAGCATATTATGTTTGTTTATTTTATGCTTTCTGATAGCAAAAATAAAACTAATAAATTCTTCTAATACAGACACATAATATAGGATTAATTGGATGATAGTTTTATTTTATTAAATTTATTTTTTAATAACTAATGCTTAATTGCAACTTTAAAACAGCCACGTACATATAAAAATATGTTAACTGTTTGTTCCCTTAATAGTTTAATATGCCCATGAAATCTTTTCCTGAATACTTACTAAGTAAACTTTTTAGGTTATCCAAAGGTGAATGGACCCAATGAAGTGCATCAAATTTCTAACTGGGATTGTAAATATTTTCAGGAACCGTTTGGGTCGTATCATTTTAGACGGCCCAGAATGAATTGGACGGTAGTTGTAGATGTTGGAGAAATGATAGAAAGTAGAAGACCCTTGCTTGAATTTTTGTGAAAACTGAGGAATCAAGAAACGCGAGTGAAAAAAAAAAAAAAAAAAAAAAAAAAAATATATATATATATATATATAAAGGAAAATTAAACAGAAACTGCTTCTGTGTATTTTAATACAAAACTCACATTTTATTATAGACGCTTGATAATTTAAATTACAAATATATTCCAACTTCCCTGTTTTAAGAGCAATAGCTTAAGTTAAATACATTGTTTCTGTCTTTATCTCTTTCAAGCCCAAAGCAACCAAACGACAAAACACCACCAAAACCACTGTGTGTCACAAGAGCAACCACACACACTGTTCAGAGTCGTCCCAGTGAAAGAGACTTCAGCAGCTCAGGACAGTCTCTGTGTAATAATATGCAGCATAGACGTCAGTTGACCTTGAAGCTTATAGCATGTCTTAATTCTTAATCAGTTTCAAACCCGTATTCACAGTTTCTGTGTCACTAGAACTACGGGGCCTTGTCGGTGCCGAGGGGTTTTCTAGTCCTTGGGTCCACTCTATTTTATGACAGTCCCAGAGTTTGCCCTTCCTGCCACTGTCCGTCGATTTTCACCTACAACTTCCCCCACCCGGCACCGGGATAACGTCCACGTTAATCCATTATGAATCCTTGGATCTTTCTCTGGGCCTGTCCAGTCGCCCAAAAAAAGGCGAAGCTGCTCAGCCAGGGAGCCATCCGGGAACGTTCCTTCTGCACTTGATAGCATGTGCAATCCCTCCGGCCAGGAAGCGGTCACTTCAGGCTATTCGCCTGAAGGTTGTTGAGAAGATTTAAGTAAATGTTTGATTTGAGGAACCTGGGGTAGGAGTCCTTCTCCATGAGCATATATACGATTTTTTGGGCTTCATCAAAACACGTGGGGGTTGGAGATTTGATCTTCTTGGCTGTAGACTCTCGAGTGCGGAAGTCAATGTTGATCTGAAAGGGAGAGTCTCATTAGTTAATAGGCATTTCCTATTTATTGCATCGTTTATGACATTACTGTATATATATATATATATTTTTGGAAGCACCTCAAGATAATGGCTCTAAGCCCTCATTTAAATCAGTTCAAATATCTCTTGAATACCTGTTCTAGACCAGACCTACCCTAGGTGTGGAGAAATTAAAAAGAAATATCACGAGAAGGCCTCTTCTCCAAGTTATCATATAGTTGAGCGATGCAGACAAGGCAGACATGGAAAACTTAAATGTCCATGCAAGGTGAGACACACGTCAACAACAGCCGGGTGGACATTTAAGATTTACAGGGGGAGAGGGCTCTTTGTGCAGCTATTTTTTTTGTTTTTTTGCTTGCAGCAAACATGTTTAACTGGAAGGTGGGCACCACTGCTAACTGGAAATGTTTTTGCTGCTGCATCATACGTTTTACACTAATCTGTGTTTTGTTTTCCTCCAAGATGAGCTGGCTCATTAAGAACTTGAGCTCTGGCCAGTAACCCAGCGCTCCCTTCCCCAGCCCCATCCCGTTAGCTAGTTTTGCAAAACGAATCTTCCATCCAATCTTTCCACAGATACATAAAATTAGATGATCATTGCACTGAACTGTATGATATCCCCTCAATATATAGCCGTGAAACCCTCACCCTCAGAAAGGACTTAGCCTTGCTCCGTGTGCCGAGTGATATTTCTGTATCTAAGTTCCTCACATACACTGGTGATAACGAACTGGATACTCACTTGTTTAGCGGCGTCCGAGTGCACAAATGCTCTGTATATTTTCTCTGCTTTGCCATGCAGAAGATCAGACTCTGTTTTTTTATAGTCTTCACAAGCCAGCCAGAACTCAATATTCTCCTCGCTGAACTCGGACTTTAGGAAACTTCCAAAAACATCCTGACCAGCTAAAATGAAAGAGAGGTGAGATACTTTTATTAACCAAGAGCCTGTAAAGGAACAACTTGAAGAAGAAATTTGCTAGAAAATACTGCTGGGTTCTCTGTGTACTGTGATGAGAAATGGCTGCTGAAGCAGCTGCGTCATGGTTCGTGGAGATGGAACGGCCCTAGAGACTCCTTCATTTATGGCTTATCTGGGACCAGACCCACTTGTCCATGGCCACATAGCTGCTTAGTGGTAGCTACAAAACTACTGTACTTTGCTTCTGTCTGCTGATTAATTGAGAATTCTGCTCTCCTGGTTACAAAGCAATCTCTTTTCTTACATAGAGTATCTTAGGGAAGCAAACATTGACAAAGGATATTCATATCATGTTAATTATTAACAAGTATAATTCCCCATCCAGTTCATAGGAGTCAGAAAGTGTGAGGCCTGTACGTCACCTGTGTGTGTACTGATTGTTTTTGCGAGTGTTACGGAGACTTTCAAATGGGCCACTTCTATATGGTTTATTTGTTTGACTTATCAGGTAAAGAGATGGATGAACCCAGTTGAGCTACGTTAGGGGTAAGTCTCCTTAAGGTGTTTGTGGGGACAAGGGGGTGAGCTCACACTCTGGACAGCGGCACCTGTCTCATCTCCACCTCTCTCTGCCAGGTCCGAACCCCAGCAGAACTGCAGTGGCCAGGATGAGCGTAAGGGAGCTGATTTCATTCTTTACCTCCTCTCATCAGAAATGCCCCACAAGACTCTGTGTTTGAAAATTGTTCTGATCATATCTGTGTTGTTACATGTATCATATTATACATAATGCAGTTATATCCTGTGTCTTTGTTTTTGAATCATGGCTCTTCTAAAGTGCTTGCCACAGGCAGGAGGGCTGACGGAGTGAGTTAGTGAATGTCTGAATGATAAAATGATTACTTGACTGGCTCCTACTCGCAAAAACTACATTCTCTAGGTAGCTTTTAGAGCAGCCCTTTGCATGTTGAGAGCTTTGGTTGGCCTTTAAAAACTTTAAACCTCAGAACCCCAGCATCATTGTTAATTTTGCTCCTGTAATGATCCATCTGTGGACACGTCTGATTGTCTTGGGAAATTTGTCAGTGGCAGAATTTAGTGCTAAGGGATCCTCACACAGCAATGAGGCACAACATGCTGGGCTGTCAGTGACTGCAGAGAAATGGAATACACCTTTTCACACACTCTCCCGTCCAGAGCCCTGTATTCTAATTAAGCCATTTAGTCTGTTAGGGTATTGGGCTAACCCCAGACACATTCGGTAGTTAATCTACACTTACTTCGGTTGGCAAGAAGTTTTTCCAGGGACTGAGACCATTGCATCACTTCATCAGCAGACAGTCTGCAGGGGACAAGATTTGCATACGTTAGTAAAACATATTTTTCCTAAGCACACATGAAATCAGAATGGCTGCTGCCTTTTGATAACTTCACAGACTAAGACTCTAGTCTTAATACATTTTATTAAAATGTATAAGAAAACAAAATTCCCCTTAGAATTACTGTTGAAATGAAATTTCACAGAGAATCGCTGTATGAAAAATATCTGCCAATAAAATGTGCAAAAAAATCCAAGTGCATATCCTGCAACAGTAAGGTAAATAGCAGATATATGCACACACGTTAGCTTTCCATTTACATTATTACTAGTGGCTAATCTCCTTAGGCTGTTACATAAAGTAAACGAAGTCCATTATGCATAGTGTCAGTCTCTTGCTGGAATACAGTCAGTGCACAGACCACTTTTACGATGTTAGTTCAGTGTATCGGTGTACGTACATGTCCTTGGACTTGGAAGGCTTCATCCCGGATTCCAGATGTGGGATCATGGATCTCAGGTACGCTTTCACGTCCATCCCACTACAAAAGACACGAACATGAATAACCCTGTCTCCTCGGTAGAATGCGTGTCATTGATAAAAAGCGAAGAGCCTGAAATAAACCCTCCAAGGAGTAAGGCTGGAACAACAGCAGCTGACACAACATGCTGTTAGGTTAAGGTCGAGCCAATTTAAGTCCAGAAAAATCCCCCCCGATGTGACTCCCAATCATGGCTTGCTTTTTCATGCAGCGGCATGTGCTTAGAATGCGCAACCGGTAGTCTCCCTGAGCTCGCTAAACGGGGCGCTCGTGCCGCTCCCACCCATTCTCACTCCTTCTGCCGTTGCAGATAAACTAAGACAAAGGTCCCCAAGGGAGACGCTGAAGGGACTTACAAGGTCTTTGGCCGCCTCTTCTGCGTTTTGTCGTCTAGAAGCGAGTGATCCGAGTCTTTCAGTTCCTTTGGGGCCGCGGAGAAGATCCCTGGCATCTTGTGTAACCTCGGCGTGGAGATGGCTGCTGCTCGCATGGTCCCGTGGGGCGAGTGTCTGTCCGTCCCGGTCCCCGCCGCTTTATATAGTGAAGGCAGACAGGCCCGCGCTGCTCAGCAAGTCTGTTTATCAAGTGGTGTTACCACAGGCGCTGCAAGTTCCTCCTTTCTCGCCGGGTTGTGACGTGGATCTTGAAAAAAAAAAAAGCACACAGTGATGTCTTGTGGTTGAAACTTAACCAAGTGAGAACAGGTCACTTGATTAGAATGAAAGAAAATCGAACACACGGAGGCCACATGCCTGAAGCACTAGCAGTGATCAGCATTCTGGTTCCAGGGGACACTTGTGTCTTCGTAAAGCTGCCTTGTTCTGTAAGATGTCTTGTGTGGTGCATGTATCGAATCACGTAGAAACTCAGCAGCAGAGATGCATTCCCCTGGTGCTTTGGCTAGTCCTCGGCTATAAAAGGCTCCCGACCACAGCATTGTTAAAGACTTCTTTTTTTATTTCTTTCAGGAAGCAGTATAAAGTAAACACATCTTTGATTATTTGTGCATGGATCTGGTAGGAAGGAGAGTTACGAGGGGTTCCCTTAATGTTTCCTTGCTCCAACTCTCATCCCCTATTTTCACGGCAAGAAATGTTTTCCCAGGTGGGTGCGAGACTTTCTCCTGCTGAGTCACAGGATAATTGTAAGGGGTGCATGGGTTTTCATATATTTATTAGGAACATACATAACCTATCATACAGATTTTTTAATATATTGCTGCTTAGGCTATGAATAATAAAATTAAAAAAAACTATGACCAAGTGAAAGTACAGTCAACACAACAATACGGCATGTTATGTACGTATTTACCGATAGTAAAAATCGCATAGTCTCAGAGGAAGCTGCTCATGGTAAAACAAGAGTGTACTTGGACCGGCCAGTAATGTGTACATCTTCCACGTTTTGGCAGTATCTCTGCAGATGAAAATCTAGCTTCAATTAAGATTAAGGATTTTTTAAAAATCCCAAGGAATTAGATGACTGATCACTGGTCACCACAGAGGACACTGTAAGCTCTTAAAGAGTTTATATATACTGTGTTTATTTATCGAGTGCCCAGTTTAACTTAAACCTCCTTTGGGTTTTGCCCCTGCAAAGACAGAACAAATCTGACTTATAGAGGCATCAGCTGGCTTTATTAGGTAAAACTGACAAAAGACAACAGGGCGTTTCCCCCCCCAACTTGATTGTATCGTCAGGATAAAAAAATATGTGAAGGAATCACGTTTATAACATTTCATCATTCACTTCCTTCACAGCCATTGAGCATTCATTGTACGTAGCGTTATTTGATGTTGGAAAGATAACATCACGGTGCGTTAAGAAAGTAAACTGGTGACACGAACTGACCACATTGTGACCCAAACAGGACCGATGGGGCCCAGCGGCAGAAGGCACGAAGGCATTTGTTTGTGTTTCTTGTGGTTCGGGCCATACTTAAGCTTTCTGTTAAAATCTCTGGCGTTGTTCATGTTTGTTTATCAGTAACTTTTCATTCCCCTAGATAACTGTGGGTCATTTACGTTAGAGGAAAAAAATGACTGAACGTTCATTTTGAATGGTCCACTATTGTTACCATCCATATGGACTGGTGATTTCCAAAGGATGTTTCTGCAACACCAATGATTGGTTGTTAGTAAGCATGACAAGGACTGAAATAGCAGCAGCAGCAAAGGCTACGTGGCCACACAAATTTGGGAAATACAGGGTCAGAGGTAAATAAGGCTCTTCAGTTGATCAAGGCAGGTCTACCGAGAGCGTTCAGTATGTGAATGCGCCTTTGTCAATGCCCAAAGGAGGGTAGGATATGCAGCGGTTTCCTAACATTTCTGAGACGTGAACCCTCATTAGGTGGGGAAAATAGTTTGCAGAAATAATTTCCCCTTGACACCACATTGGGAAACTCTGGTCTGACACAGAGATAAATGTTCACCCCTAATTCCTTTCCACCGTCTTGCTACCTCAGCATAAACCTTCGAGCGCAGGCATTTGCAAGTCATTACAGTCGCCTGCTTCGAAGCCCAGGTAGAGAATTGAACCCCGCATAGAGCAGGTGCATCTGAAACCCCTGGGTCACAGTGGGCCGATGAAGCCGCCTCAGTGGTACAACACTATAGCTGTTCTCTCAGGGGCGGTTTGCTGGCACATGCAAAGCTGTATGTGCTAGAACTAGGCAAATTTGGGGAAGTCGTATTTGCAAGGGTGCATGAGTCCATGGCAGGGCGGTAAAAGTTTCCTTTCAGTTGCATACAGAACGTCCCCTCCTGGCTCCCCTGTGTGACGTTCATGAAGAAAAGAGTTGCTGAGTTGATTTTGTATTTTGATTCTAATCACACCAAAGGCCTGAATCCTAGGAGGGAGAGCTTTGCTGAATGGCATTTAAAAAAAAAAAATCTTTATTGATTTCAGAGAGAGGATGGGAAAGGGAGAGAGAAACATCAGTGATGAGAGAGTCATTGATCGGCTGCCTCCTGCACACCCCCCACTAGGGATTGAGCCTGCAGCCTGAGCATGTGCCCTGATTGGGAATTGAACCACCATCTTCTGGTTCATAGGTCGATGCTCAACCACTGAGTCTGAATGGCATTTTCATGCTTAATGTTGATTAAAAAGATGTTGAACCTTCATAATGCTGCTGAAGTTTTGTTGTGGGCATTAGGAATTTTTGGAACAACGACAATAATGAATACAAAATTATATCTTTAAAAAAAAAGTATTGGCTTGCATTTTTATTTTATATTTGATTTATTGGAGAAACATTGGTTAACATTAAATTACAGGTGTACAACTTTATAATACGACATCCGGATGCTCTGTTGTGTGCTCACCACCTGAAGTTTAGACTCCTTCCATCACCATGTATTAGACCCCTTTACTCTCCTTGTCATTCCCTCGACCCTGTCCCCTCTGGTAATCACCATTCTGTTGTCTGTGTCTCTGAGTTTGCTTTTTGTTTGTTTGTATGATCTGTTCAAATTGTTACTTTCTCTTCTATATCCCATATGTGAGTGAAATTGTATGGTCCTGTCATTTTCCATTTGACATATTTCACGTAGCATAATACTCTAAGATCCACTCACGGTGTTGCAAATGACAATATTTTATCTTTTTTATGGCTGAGTAGTATTCCATAGTATATATGTGCCACATCTTCTTGTGAGACAGAAGTCCTGTTGTCATTTGCTAGAAAATCAACATTGATCTCTTCCCTGCCTGTTTCTGCATTTGAAGTCAACTCCCCTTGGAAAGTACAAAACACCGCAATAAGAGAAATGGGTCTTGAGCAGGTCGACACCTCTTAACATGCATAAAAATTGTGGAAGAATGGATCCTGTATATAAACATGAAGCTTTGCAGCGTTTAAAAGAGGCTCTGCTGAAAGACTGTTAAGTTAGCATAACTGCTCTACAGTTAGGGAATTAAGGGTCTTTTTTTTTGGCTCCTGCAAGCTCCAGGCCTATAGGTGGGGCCACCAATAGTGTTTTTCAGCCACATTCTGTAGAGTTTATTTGAAAAGCTTCAACAGAGGTGAATTTAGAAGAACTTTTCTCTCTGTCCAGGGAGAGTGTTGGTGGGGGCATTGATGCTGACTTTATATTATTTATGAATAAAAGGATTAAGCATTTCAGGCTTGCTTTTACGACTTTATTTTCTCAGCAAAGGAGTCAGCTGATAGGCTTTAGTAAGAGAAGAGATTTGCAGCTCAGTGAAGTGCAATGGCCTCGGTTGACGGAGGCTGAACAAGATAAGAATCTGGTTTCCTTGTCTCATCCTGTGATATTGTACCTATAGTCAACACCAGGGCCTCCCTTTCTGTAATTTAAGAGGTTATAGGAAAGCCAACCTTCAGTGAACTGAGTTCCTGTGATTCTATCACCCTCACAGATCCTGTCTTAACCAGTACCTTTCCCGTGAGTGGGTGCACCGCGAGGTCCTTGTTGAAAGCGCTGAGGACGTCTTTGATCAGTAGCACCTCTCACACACTCCCTCCCTACTGGAATGATTTTCATTTATGATGACTTTATGATTTGTTATCATTTCAACAAGGGGGAGTAGTCATGTCAGGCTCCATTTGACTGTGCTTTGCAAACGAAATGTAGCAAGTCCTAAAGCAAGCGTCTCGTGCCCAAGCTGAGAAATGGAAAAGTCTCCTATGAGAACATGGACACACTGTCTGCAGTTGGGCTGGGATGTTCTGTTACAAAGCACAGGGCAAACATGCAAAAGCAAAGATACTCGAAGGTCAGCATGGAGAGGCAATTTGTAAAGGAAGTGTATGTGTGTGTGTGTGTATATATATATTTAAAATAAATTTTTATTGCTTTTTTTAGAGAGAGAGGAAGATAGAGAAACATCAATGTGAGAGTGAAACATCCATTGGCTGCCCCCTGCACGTCCCCTGCAGGAGATCACGCCCGCACCCCGGGCACGTGCCCTGACCGGGAATGGAACCAGCAGTGTTCTGGTGCACAGGGCGATGCTCAGCCGACTGAGCCACACCAGCCAGGGCAGGAAAGTATATTTGGATTGCCAGGGAACAACTTAAGGCTCCCCTGCTATCTGGAATTAGAACATTCAGTGAAACCTCTGGGAAGTCAAAATAGTCCAAAGCCAAGGAAGCTTCTCAGGACACATCTTGCTAACAGATGCACGAAATAAACCGAGAGAAAGCACAGATGTCCACAGGCACAGTTCAAAGCCACAGGGCTGGATGCGGAGACGCCGAGTGTAGTTGTCAGGGAAGGACTTTGGCTGGGCCAGCCTCACTGCCCTTACAACGGCTCGCTGCAAAACAGACGCTGGACACGCGTCTCCCTTTATTTTCTTTCTACGAAGAGTGAAATTCCTCTTCAATTTCTGTCCATTAGAGAAAACAGGTGCTAATGAACATCTTTTATAAAGCCGGCTTTTGAAAAGCAGGGCGTAGCTGGAACACGATTCCAGCGACTTGCCTTTGTTTTTCCTGGACATCAGAGTGGTTAACAGCAG